ATGAGTTACTACAGAGTAAGAGACAAGTCAGAGCTAATAGAGAGAGACAAGTCAGAACTACTAAATATAGTGAAAAGTGAGTCTGGTAATCAAAGAGCTAAAAGTGGGGAGGTGAATTATTGCAATAGGGAGATGTTAAGTGACAAACAAAAGAGAAAACTCCTAAAGGCATACTCTTAGCACCGCCCTTTGTAGTGGCTTTCGATCTTAGATTACCCCCACTCCCCTCCCCCCGAATTCACACACACCATTTTACCTTAAAAACACACCACTGCATTAGGGACACTTTAGGCACCAAGCCCACTTTAGCTCATCTGAGTGCAAACTCCCATCACCCTTAACCCTGAGCATGTAATTATATTGCTCTTCTAGTGGCTATCTACCAGACAGCCAATAAAGGGACTTCTGGACTTGAAGGTGACTTTTGGACTTTCGCTATGCATGAGGACCTCCAGCGTCAACCGAATCCCCATAGGAAAGCATTGAATAAAGCTTTCCTATTGCGAAATCCTAATGCGAGCATGGCCATTGCAGCGCATGCGCATATGGTTTCCCCTGTTGGTGTGGGAAGAGTGTGGGCGGAGCTCATCAGGGGCTGAGGGACATCGGTGCTGGAACCAGGTAAGAGCCAAAAGAGGGAAGGGGTCTTGACAGAGGGGGAAGCTATAGTGCCAGGAAAACAAGTTTCGTTTCCTGGCACTATAGTTTCCCTTTAAGACCTGTGGAATACACTATTGTGTTCACACCAGGTGACATTCTTTACAAACACACCCCTGCATTCACGCGCAATCCACACTTCCACACTCCTGTTTTCACAAGCTCAATCTGGCAGTCTACATTTGCAAATATCAGTATACAGTGCCTTGCAAAAGTATTCCCCCCCCCCCCCTTGACTTTTTACCAATTTGTTACATTACAGCCTTAAGTTCAATGTTTTATTAATCTGAATTTTATGTGATGGATCAGAACACAATAGTCTAAGTTGGTGAAGTGAAATGAGAAAAATATATACATAAAACTATTTTTTAGAAATAGAAAACAGAAAATTGGCATGTGTGTATGTATTCACCCCCCTTGTTATGAAGCCCATAAAAAGCTCTGGTGCAACCAATTACCTTCAGAAGTCACATAATTAGTGAACTAATGTCCACCTGTGTGCAATCTAAGTGTCACATGATCTGTCATTAAATATTCACACCTTTTTTTTAAAGGCCCCAGAGGCTGCAACACCTAAGCAAGAGGCACCACTAACCAAACACTGCCATGAAGACCAAGGAACTCTCCAAACAAGTAAGGGACAATGTTGTTGAGAAGTACAAGTCAGAGTTAGGTTATTAAAAAATATCCAAATCTTCGATGATCCCCAGGAGCAGCAACAAATCTATCATAACCAAATGGAAAGAACATGGCACAACAGCAATCCTGCCAAGAGACGGCCGCCCACCAAAACTCACGGACCAGGCAAGGAGGGCATTAATCAGAGAGGCAGCACAGAGACGTAAGGTAACCCTGGAGGAGCTGCAGAGTTCCACAGCAGAGACTGGAGTATTTGTATATAGGACTACAATAAGCCGTACGCTCCATTGAGTTGGGCTTTATGGCAGAGTGGCCAGAAGAAAGCCATTACTTTTGGCAAAAAACAAAAGGGCACGTTTTGAGTTTTCGAAAAGGCATTTGGGAGACTCAAAATGTATGGAGGAAGGTTCTCTGGTCTGATGAGACAAAAATTTTACTTTTTGGCCATCAAAGAAAACGCTATGTCTGGCGCAAACCCAACACATCACATCACCCAAAGAACACCATGGTGGCAGCATAATGCTGTGGGGATGTTTTTCAGCAGCCGGGACTGGGAAACTGGTCAGATATGAGGGAAAGATTGTGCTAAATATAGGGATATTCTTGAGCAAAACCTGTATCAATCTGTGCATGATTTGAGGCTAGGACGGAGGTTCGCCTTCCAGCAGGACAATGACCCAAACACACTGCTAAAGCAACACTTGAGTGGATTAAGGGGAAACATGTAAATGTGTTGGAATGGCCTAGTCAAAGCCCAGACCTCAATCCAATAAAAAAATCTGTGGTCAGACTTAAAGATTGCTGTTCACAAGTTGAAAGAGCTGGAGCAGTTTTGCAAGGAGGAATGGGCAAAAATCCCAGTGGTAAGATGTGGCAAGCTCATATAGACTTATCCAAAGCGACTTGGAGCTGTGGTTGCCGCAAAAGGTGGCTCTACAAAGTATTGACTTTACACTCCAATACACAATTACACTCCACCCTCAAAAAATATTTCTGTTTTTACATATACACATGGTATACATATACAGAAAACGCTGCACACAAATACACACACTTGGACAATACACACACTTGGACTACAAACCTATATATGTACACAATTTGGCACTGTGTTTTTATATGCAGGAGCTAATTTGAACAAATAAGTTTTTGCATTCGGTCCTTGTACACGAATACACTTTCCATTCACAAACCGACATTATACACCAATATAGCGCTACATCTATCAAAGATTATAAAGCTTTCTCCATATATTCATATGCATTCACTCCACTGCAACCTTCAGATCCTCTTTTAGTAATGTCAGCCTCTAAGCTGACATCACCCACAAAATACCCAAATCCATTGCTTCTCATCTGCCTCCTTGACAAGCTCAGCCAATCCTATGCTTTCCTATAGGAAACATTGTGATTGGCAGAGAGAATCACTTCTAATGAAGTAAGCCAGGGGCAGAGCCAGCAGCAGACTGGGATAAAAGTAAACGTTTACTATATTTAGGGGGGCAAGGAGGTCAGGGGGGCTAGATGGTGTTTTTAACATTATAGGGTCAGGAATACATGTTTGTGTTTCTGACCCGATAGAGTTCCTTTAAAATGACAGGACCACTTCACCTAGACCACTTTCTTGAGATGAAGGGGTCTGGGTGACTACAGTGTTCTTGTAAAGATACCGTGGGTTTGGGTGCATTTAGTGGTCCTTTACTGATGAACTCAGTCAAAAATGTATTGTTCCACCCTTGTGACTGCAGAAACATAGGTTTAACTATGTACCAGCCCACTCCCTTTCAGTGTAAGACTGTGTAACATTTGCTACATGGTGTAATACTGTGCCTTATTCTGTGCTTGTGTATAATTAAAGTCCATCAATAAAGAAAATATATTTAATCTTATCTGGTCCAAGCTGTACTTGGCAGTGAAAGGATACTATATCTTTCTTAGTTGTGCTGATAAGCCAAGAGATGTCTCTTATTATAACATCATAATGGAATGGTAAATGATTGACCGAAGTAGGCTGAATGTTACTCCACTAGAATTATAAGGCTAGAGGTTTGCTGAATCTAGTGTGAGCTGCTGTTCATAGCAAAATAAGTGGTTTTTCCTAGCCATGAGATTACTAGACATGATGAATGTTTAACTTACAAACAAAGGAAGAAAAATACTGAGGTTTTTTCCACACTTACCACTCTCCTTTGTGAGTTATGACATGGCCTTTGGTATTATGCAAGATTAAAAAACGAGAAAAAGGCTAAGCAATAGAAATAATGATAAAGTGACAAAAAGATTCACTATTTTACCCCTTAAGGACCAAACTTCTGGAATAAAAGGGAATCATGACATGTCACACATGTCATGTGTCCTTAAGGGGTTAAAGGGAACGGTAAATACTCTGGAATATACTAGACTTTGTCTGACTTTTTTGCGATCGGTGGCTTGTCTGAATTTCGTAACTCGGAATTGCTACGACCGAATCATGAGAATGACAATGAACAGGCTGGCTCGGTTGCTCTGTATTGGTGTACTGCCTGTGGCACCCAAAGAATCCATAATAGATGGTTATAGGAAAGCTGCTGAATAAAAAATAAATAATAAACCAAGGATCAGCTGAACCAAATGTTCAGACTTTGCAACAAAACGCTCAAAAGTAGGCAAATTCTCAAAACACTTTTTGATGCATGTGAACCAAATTTGAATAGTAAAATACTGTGACTGCTAAAGCATGCCTAACACACTAAAAAACCCATTCTAACCCCCTCTACCCCACCTTTAAAAAAAAAAAAAATGAACAGGCTGGTTCGGTTGCTCTGTATTGGTGTACTGCCTGTGGCACCCAAAGAATCCATAATAGATGGTTATAGGAAAGCTGCTGAATAAATAATAAATAATAAACCAAGGATCAGCTGAACCAAATGTTCAGACTTTGCAACAAAACGCTCAAAAGTAGGCAAATTCTCAAAACACTTTTTGATGCATGTGAACCAAATTTGAATAGTAAAATACTGTGACTGCTAAAGCATGCCTAACACACTAAAAAACCCATTCTAACCCCCCCTACCCCCCCTTTAAAAAAAAAAAAAAAAAAAAGTCAACAAGATAAGGGCAAAGGCAGGCTACAGCTTTATTAAACATTTCAAACCAACATGCTAAAGGGGCCCGACCCCCAGGCAGGCTGAAAGGGCCCTGACCCCCAGGCAGGTTATATCCACCAGAGTTTGATTCCTGCTCAAAACACAACAGGAACCCCTACTCCCAATGCTTGGTCTTAAGTTACCAGTTTAATCCAGGTGCAGAATAGGGTAAATTTCGCAACTGCAGCCAGACTCGCTCCCAGTGGGGCAGGCTGCACCCCCCCTGTGCACAGTGCATGTTCAATCCCCAATTGCAGACCTGAGTTAAAATGACAAGCCCAATTTTGCTCAAATGTACAATAACTCAGAGGCGTGGCTAGCTAGCAAGCAGAATGGCCGCATGTTAAAACGGCTCTCGGCACATCAGGCAAAAAAATCGCTTTACTAGGGGAACCACAAAAAGCTGCAAAGCTCTCACACAGGCTCTGGGAAGACCCAGGCTGGAAAAGAGGGCTCGTTCTTCAAGATGTTTAAAGAGTACGCTTTACGGACCTCGCCGAATCAAACATGGTGCCGTCGACTCTCCTGGCAGACTCAAATCCGCCTAGCCCAGCAGCATCGGAGGGCTCCATGGGACCGACGGAACAGTTTTTTTTAAGATATACTTTGGAGCCTGCCTTCAAAAAGGGACCTAGTCACAATGCTGGGAAAATTGGAAACTTCCTTCCAGCACAAGTTGGAAAGCCTCTGCGCCGACATCGGGCAGGTAGGCCTCAGGGTCCAAGATTTGGAGGATGATAGGGGTTCCATGAAGGTCCAAATTCAGACCCTGGCTTCCAGAATTGAGTCCCATGAAACATACCTGTCCCAACTACAGCGGTCCCTGGATAATGTTAATAACAGGGGCAGGAAGAATAACCTCCAGATCAGGGGATTGCCTGAATCAGCTAATAAGGACCTAGCGAATACTCTGAAAGAGCTTTTTAACCTTATCCTGGGTCACAATGCAGGGACCACTTTACTCTTGGACAGGGTGCACTGCTCACTGAGGCCTAGGGCCAATGCAGATGAGGACCCGCGGGACGTACTGTGTCATCTCCACTATTACACAGTGAAAGAAGAAATAGTGAAAGCGCTGAGAGACACAAGCTCTCCACTTCTGTTTCACAAGCACTAAATTCAGATTTTCCACGATTTATCATGGCTCACTTTACAAGCCAGGAGGGCGCTCAGGCTCATAACGGACCAATTCAGAAAACGAAATCTCAAATATCGCTGGGGTTTCCCCTTTTATCTCATAGTCTCTTACAGGGGAACAAAGCACACGATAATGACATATCAAGAAGTGGCACCTTTCACCTGAGCCCTAGCGCTCAATGATGTACGCATCTGACGAACGCAAGCATGGAATGAGCAGACAACATCATGGACTCCCAGATGGACTATCATAAGGCAGCACCACCAATCCCTCAGGACTAACGCTTATCCTCTATACCGGACATTACGGACTTTACACCTGCCTAAGCTGAGTGGAGCACTTCCGTGAAAGAGGCCTAGCACCATAATCCAAACATATGATTTCTCCCTTCAAAGGACAAGGTGACAGGACTCTATGTACCCTACAGTGCGCTACATCCGAGTCCTTAGACTAGCAGACTGCTGGACGTAACTCTTGGCAAATTTGACAAGGTGAAACGACTGAGGGGTATATTTACATAACAACTCACACATGCCTATTCTGACTAGCCTCCCTGAGACAACTATCTGAGTCCTTAGTCCTATGGACTGCCGAACATTTTACCCAGCACAAAAAATGGTACCCAGGACTCAACCAGGTCGTATGCCTATATAATTGTTGCTAAATGTTCATAATTGCTTGCATCACTATGAAAATATTTGATAACCTCTAAGCACATAGCATACACGCACATTGTGGTGAATCGGACACGCATGGTCGTTTCAGGTTATTATGTGTGTCTCTTCACTCACAGTGCCCACACCAGCTTCTAGTCACACATGCAAATGCTCTCACCCTCCCCTTTTCACTACGCCCCGGAAACGGGATTATAACCCTCACAGCTCTAACAGAGGGACAGGCAACCCGCTAGGGTTACTACCGTGTTTCTCCGAAAATAAGACCGGGTCTTATATTAATTTTAGTCCCAAAAAACACACTAGGGCTTATTTTCAGGGTAGGGCTTATTTATTTATGGTACCGGTATGTACATTGAACCCCCCCTTTAATTAATCCATAATAAATCCACCCCCTCTAATTAATCCACCCCTCTAATTAATCCACCCCCTTTAATTAATCCACCCTCCTTTAATTAATCCACCCCCCCAATAAATCCACCCCCCCCAATAAATCCAGCCCCCTCTAATTAATCCACCCTCCTTTAATTAATCCACCCCTCCTTTAATTAATCCACCCCCCTTTAATTAATCCACCCCTCCTTTAATTAATCCACCCCCCTCTAATTAATCCACCCCCTCTAATAAATCCACCCCTCCTTTAATAAATCCACCCCCTCTAATAAATCCACCCCCCGTTTAATTAATCCAACCCCCCTTTAATAAATCCACCCCCCTCTAATTAATCCAGCCCCTCCTTTAATTAATTCACCGCCTCCTTTAATTAATTCATCGCCCCCTTTAATTAATTCAGTCCCAGACATAAAATATCTACTCACATTTCAAAGATGCCTTCCTTGCCCGCCGAGTCCGACCACTGGGTGCCTCACCGCCCGGAAATGGATCCTTCCGCTGAAGATCCGTGAAGGCAGACTGACGACGCTGCGCACGTCGTCATCACGTTGCGCGATGCCGCTGCCTGCAACGCTCCTCCTCCTCCTCATAGAAGAAGGAAGTCCCGCCGGGCCGAAAGGTACAATGCCTAGGTCTTATTTTCGGGGTAGGGCTTATATTGCAGCCCACCCCGAAAATTCAGCTAGGTCTTATTTTCGGGGTAGGGTGTATTTTCGGGGAAACACGGTATTACTGACTGTGACGTACAGCAAAGGTGGGCAACCGCACAGCTCATGACGTCACCGGGAGGGGGATAGGCAGGTTGGGAAGGGGGGGTTCTTTTTACTGCCAGACATCTGGGATCCAGTGATACATTCAATAGTTCTATAACATATCGCGAATATCCATTACCTCCACTACAACATCACTATACACAACTGATTTTGACCTGAACGCCGGTCCTAATACATATTTCTTGCAGACTAAGTGTATATACACTAATACTCCCAACCAAGACTTTTCACATAACATACTTTCCAAGCATGTAAACTTGGAAAACCGTACCGACTGACACATACTATACTACACATACCCTACCGACTTCTTAGCGGTGTCATAGGTGATTACTATTGTTCCCTGTAGACTCAGGACCATCTCAAGGACTGACACCAGCCTTGACTCCTCCCACAGGTTCATTCGACAACTTAAACACTTGTAAAAGCTAGAGAACCTACTCCTTGTATATAGTTTTTCCTCTGATGATAAGAAATTTGTCCACTGCTTGTTTATGCCGTTACCTGATACTGCATTGTAAGACTTACAGAATTGTTCTGCATACAGTGTGCAACACCAACAACATTGGAACAAGGTATCAAAGCACACACATTCTGAACAAACACTATCTTCAGAAGCGCAGGATGGCCCTGTTGAGGCTGCATTCCCACAACGCGAAGGGATTAAACACCCCTGAGAAGCGACACATGACCCTCACTGACTATCATAAACATAGAGCAGAGGTGGTCTTCATACAGGTGACCCACTTCGGCAAAGATTCTGCCCCTCACCTTAGGAACAAACACTACCCCAAAGGTTATTTTAGCAACTACCCCATGTCAAAATCTAGAGGCGTGATAATACTGTTTAAATCGCACCTCCCCTTTATAGATAAAGCACACTACGCTGACGACAGCGGCAGATTCCTCTTTGTAAAGGGACTTATAGGGCAAACTAAGACCACATTCACCAATATTTATTTACCCAATAGGAAACAATTTCCCACTCACCGCAAGATCCTCCGCAAACTTGAAACATTCACTGAAGGCCTCTTGCTCCTGGGAGGAGACTTCAATGTCTCACTAGATATTGCTTTAGATACAACCTCCAAAGCACACTATTACCACTCCTCTGTGCGGATCCCTATCCAAAAACTCCTAGACTTGAATCAGTTATACGACTGTACAAAAAGGGATTACTCCTTTTATTTCAACGCAACAGGCTTATACTCAAGAATTGATATGTTCTTTCTCCCTCATCGATTCTTGAATCTAATCACATCCTGAGCCTATAAGTCTATCACTTGGTCAGACTATGCCCCTCTGTCAATGACACTCAAAATACCCTCCCTACACCCTTCCAGGGCCCACTGGAAACTAAATTACACCCTATTGAACAATACAGAAATACAGACCCAAATTAGATCAGAGCTTGATCAGTACTTTTCTCTTTAAACAAATACCCAGACTCGCCCATAAATGCTCAAAAAGAGGCTCAATCATAAAAATGGCATCTACGCATAAGAAACACAAAGACAACCAGAGTACCGAACTCCTCCAAGAGATAACGTCCCTGGAAATGACCCACAAAACAGAGTTAAAACTAGCGACCTATAAAACACTATTAGAAAAGAGGACTGAGCTTAACATACTCCTAAACATTCAGACCAAACGCAAACTTGCTCTTACCAAAAGCCTATATTATGCCCAAGGAGGAAAGAGTGGTTGTTTACTGGCCCACGCCTTAAAAAAACCCAAAGAGAAACCACCTTCATAGCCTCAATACAAAACAAGGAAGGCAAAAAATCCCAGCTCATGTCTAATATCTCCAAAGCCTTCCACAACTTCTATTCCTCACTATACAACTTGCGCATGGCCCCTCCCTCACAAGCAGAATTACACGATTTCCTCACACAGAGTATTAAATCCACAATACCACACAATGTGAGACACTCCCTAGAACAACAAATTACAGACGAGGAATTCCACGCAGCGATCAAATACCTGCCACTATGTAAGAGCCCAGGCCCAGATGGCCTCACGGCAAAATACTATAAGTTATTTGCCACCACAATGTCAGGTCATTTTATTAACTCTTTCAACTCTCTTCTCCAGTCACCTGTACTCCCCCCGCAATCCCTAAATGCCACACTAATCCTATTACCCAAACCAGGGAAAGAACAGACGCTCTGTGGCAGTTACCGGCCAATCTCACTCCTAAACATAGATCTTAAACTTTTTACTAAAATATTGGCAAACAAACTGCGACCATTTCTCCCCGCACTAATACACCCTGACCAATCGGGATTCATCCCGGGCAGGGAGGCCAAACACAACACGACAAAGATAGTGAACCTAATCTATCACTCCAACCAGTCGGGGGGCTCCAGTCTACCCCTGTTCATAGATGCCGAAAACACGTTTGACAGGGTGGACTGGACCCTAATGACCCACACATTGCAACACATGGGCTTTGGACCAAATTGGCTGTGTTGGCTGGGAGCACAGTACTCCACACCTACGGCAAAGCTGTGCATCAACGGTCAGCTTTCTGAACCGGTGAAAATTACAAACGGTACAAGACAGGGATATCCCCTTTTCCCCCTCCTCTTTGTACTTGTCCAGAGCCATTCCTCCAAGGCATTTGAGACAAGCCCCTGATTTAAGGTTTAAGAGCGGGAGGCACTGAACATAAAATAGCTGCATTCGCAGATGATATGCTGTTTACGGTTTCAGATGCCATTGCTACTCTACCCCACCTTATAAAAGAAATTACCTTGTATAGCAAATTATCAAACTTTAGGCAAACCTGGGTAAATGTGAAATCCTCCCACTGACCATAACCCAGGATACAAAAACAACACTCCAAATGACTTACCTCTTCTCATGGGTTGACACAACAATCAAATACCTGGGTATAGACACCCCACATGAACTGTTGCAACTGTATGATAGTAACTTCCCCAACCTACTTCAGTCTTATCCAAAAACCCTATATCCTGCAATCTACCACACTTTGGATGGTTCTGTAGACTTAATATCCTGAATATGAATGCCCTGCACCTACTACAGGTGCTACCAATCTCATTACCCAAAACCCTGCTCGCGAACATCTTCAAATCCTTCACCAATTTTATTTGGGCTCATAAACAACCACGATTGGCCTACTCCCTGCTTACGAGCCCTAAAGAGGAGGGAGTGTTTGTGACTAAGTGGCTACTAAGAAAGACTGGACATACCCCACTTGCAATACCTTGGGTTGTCTACTTTTGCAAATGGCATGCCATCATGGGGGTAATTCTCATTCCTGGGCTACCATACACTCTCAAAGACAACATAACCAATCTGGCAAATTTCAATGTAAAAAAAAATGAAATGCAAGCCTTATATGTGACTCTCTACCTTTCCAAAACACCATAAAACCTGTGCATGGGGGGACTTCACTAAACACAAATATTAGTGTTTTAAAACAGTAAAACATATTACAACAATAATATAGTCCATAAAAGTGCTGTTCGTTTGTAAAAAATGCAAAAAAGTCCCTTTTACTTAAAATATCATCCTTGTAATACAATTTACTATATATAATATTTGAGTTCAGCGAAGTCTCCCGAGTAAAACAGTACCCCTCAGGTTTTATGGTGTCTAGGAGAGTTACAGGGTCAAATATAGTGCTTGCGAATTAAATTCTCTGCACTTTCTCCCTGTGTTGTCAGGCATGTCAATCAAATTTTAATTAATCAAATCACATAATTATGTTAAAAGATTAATTAAATATACATGTAGAATTTTAATATATATGCATTTATAGGTATTTAAATTCTACGTGTATACTAATGTAATCTTTTATGTAATTATACTGTATGTATTTATCTATATATATATATATATATATATATATATATATATTTGCGGTTATTTAGATTTTATATATAGATAGATATATATAGAATGTCATTCTAAGTGTATTTTGTTTCCAATGTATATATATTAATAACAAAATACAGTTAAAATGAAATTACATATGAATATATCATTTATATAAAATTTTGTTTCAATAGTTTAATTTATTTTATTATTGTAATTATAAGTATATATATATATATATATATATATATATAATATGTCATTCTAAGTGTATTTTAATACTAAAATATGTAGTTATATTAATATTAAAATACACTTTGTATGATGTTACATATATATATGTATATATAGTGTATATATATAATATATATATATATAAATACATTTCTATTTTATTTTATAACATGTTTAATTATTTTTTTTTACTTTCCCACCAGCAGGGGGACTGTCTGACATTTTAGACAGTCCCCCTGCTGGCAGATTCACAGCCAGCTATAGGGGGCCATGTGATCGCTCTTTGAGAACGATCACAGGGCCCCTGGGGCCTCATTCACCAGGAGAGGGCTGCCTGGGCTGTCAGGCAGCCCTCCAGAAGAGGATCGCGGCGGAGGTAAATCCACCGGACCTCCAGGGGCTCAAAGCCGTTATGGCGTTCTATGCCGCCACAATGGCTTTAAAGCCCTTTTAATGCGGGACGGCATAGAACGCCGTAACAGCGTTAAGGGGTTAAAAGCAAGCCTATGAGGTCAATAAGACTGCTTTATTACTATAAGGGAAGTTTAAAACCTCCCTATGACCCAATCTGCCATGCAGCAGGTAAGAGCATATCTCCTAACTGTTTAAAAGTAGCGACTCTGTAGCCATTTCTGCTCAGTTCGTGAAAGGCCTCATCCTATGTGGATATGGCCTGTGGGATAATGGGAATGGAGGCGATAGTCATAATCCTAATGCCTCCCCTGCCATGAGCACCTAGTGGGAAGCAGGTGGGGCTCTAATTATAGTATTCAGGAGAAAGGAGGACCTACCAGTCACCACATAATAAACCCTCTCACCACCATGGGTTGTTAACTATTTGCCCACTGGCTGCTAGAGCTTGGAGCATTTGGGTCTTTATTTCACCCATCCAGCAGTGTTTGTTCCAGTTGGAATCCGGGCCAAATTCAGCATGGGGCCTGAATTGCAACATCTTAGCTTTGCACTGAGGTGCGTGACTGAGCTCATTGGCTGAGGGTGATCAGCTGATGTTCTTAGCCAATGAACTAGACCTGAAAAGCAAGGCTTAGTCCAGGAGAACTAAATGAACTCATAAGCATAAGCAAACAGGGGAGGGGGTGGGTTAGCGAACCTACACCACTGGTGTGGGGGCAAGGAGAGTGGCCGCCTCTCCCCAGCTCTCTCAGCCGCAGGCCGCAGTAAACAACCTCGGGCTCCCGGTAGCAATATTGTCCAAGGAAGGAGTCCAGAAACTCGGCAAGGTATTCCTGATATGGGTAGCATACTATAGCATTGGTCCCAACTCGGAATCCTTGAATATTCCCGTAAAATCAGGTAATTAATCGTGAGCCCTTTTAGCAGGAGTCCGATCAGGTTGCTGGTCAGGCTCCGCCCCCTCCCTCCCCCTTGATCCTCTCTGCCACTACTGCAGGCTGGAACAGGGCATTTTGGGGGATCTTAGGTGTCTGCTGGGAACTCCATCAGTAGATCTTTCAAGCAACTGAAACAGCAAAATTAAGAAAAAGGACATTTCTTTCTTAATTTTCATCTTTCAGCTGTTTAGTATCTGTTTAGTATCTGACTCTCAGTCTGGTATTCATATGTGGGATTTCCATAATTAAGTGTATCAAATTAAGGATGCCAATCCAATAACAAATTGATGTGAAAAGTGCTGCCACCCCAATACAGTGGTTTTCAAAGTCACCAAGAGCAGCACATTTTACATCATGCACAACAGCATAAAAACTGTTTTTCCCAAAATGATCTACTAAACAGCACCCTAATTTGGAATCCTAAGTAGCGGAACCCCACCTCTGGATACCTGATCAGGATTGCCATCCACTAAACAGCACTCTAATTTGGCATCCTAAGTAGGGAAACTCCACATCAGGGTACCAAATTAGAGGAGTAATCTACTAAACCGCTTCCTAAATTGATACTATAAGTAAGTGAACTCTACATCATGGATTCCAAATTAGGGGAGCCATCTACTAAGCAATAGAAACATACAATGTGATGGCAGATAGGAACCATTCGGGCCATCTAGTCTGCCTAATTTTAAAATAATTTTATTAGTCCCTGGCCTTCTCTTATAGCTAGCATAGTCTTATGCCTTTACCACGCATGCTTAAACTCCCTCACTGTGTTAGCCTCTACCATTTCAGCTGGAAGACCATTCCATGCATCCACTACCCTCTCAGTAAAGTAATACTTCCTGATATTATTTTTAAACCTTTGCCCCTTTAATTTAAGACTATGTTCTCTTGTTGTTGTAGTTTTTCTTCTTTTAATTATAGTCTCCTCCTTTACTGTGTTGATTCCCTTTATGTATTTAATATTTCTATCATATACCCCTTGTCTCGTCTTTCCTCCAAATTATACAATGCTCTTTAGGGAATAATGCAACTCTGAATTTCCCAAAAATTCTTAAAATTTCAGATGAATTTTGTGTTGTAGCGGATTTTATTAAGGCTGTCCTTAGGAATTCGTATTGAAAATGTATTGGTGTAATTATTTTCCTGTATGTCTGTAAAGTGTATAGAGTTTTCGTATGATTGTTTGGTATTTTCATACGAATGAAACTACCGAACCATCAGACCACCCCAGTGAGACGTGTGCGCCTCGTTAAGCGTTCACACTCTGCTAACCGCAGCTTAATTGATACATTGTATGTGCCTGTGTGGTCGCCGTTCGGCATACGAACCACGTGCGGCGGCCATCTTACGCGGTGTTTGGTCGTCGAGTGTCTGGAACTCAAATCGGACACTCAAACAACCGAACACCGCTGAGACCTCCAGAGTTCCATAACTCACAAACGGAGGGACTAGTCAGCCCTTCGTTCGGTAAAATCAATGTCCCGAACAAGGGAATTGATGCGAATGGAAGATTAGCTGTGGATGGCAGTTATTTTTATGTCTTTTAACTCCCGAACAGAGACCGACCGCAAGGCCAAAACACATGGAGCCTTTTTCGGATACCACCTCGTGTGTGGTCGGTTAAATTACACCCTCCGCCTAACTCTCGAACCCCTGGTCCGATCTGGCTGAATTTTGGATATGTTAGTCACCCAGATCAGGGCTACCAGGGGGTACCCAAAGTATTATTCTAACTGCTTGTTTTGGGATACATCCAGAACTCGGAGAAAACTACAGCATGTTTAATGGGATTATGTGTCACACTGAGGGGAGGAGATGTGTGGGAGGTAACTGTGACATTATTGGTTACTGTCCTTATTATGGTGAATACCTCCCTTGCATGGGAGAATGCTTTATAAGGAGGTTGTGTGGATTAAAAGTCAGTTCTGCTCCTGATGCTGTGTGTCGTCCAGTCATTGGGATTGATGTTGGGATATTGTTGGATTGTTTTGCTTGCTGAAAGTACTACCTTATGGATGTATAATACTTGTTCATGCGCCTCACTGGGATCTTAAGTGGAGATAACCTGTGAAATATCAGCTCTCCGCTACATGTGTCATTTGACTAATTACCGAATTTCGATGAAACAAAACTTGTAATTAAGAAAACTAAAACCAAACTGAATATTTGTTCACATGTCTAGTGGTTAGGTTGCTTAGGATGCCCCCCTTTTTTTGCTTTTTTAATTCTTTTGTATTGAGTAGTAAATGTGCCAATCATACAAACTATGTTTAACTATGTTAAAGGGACACTATAGTCAACAGAACAACTACAGTTAGCAACCATATTAGCCTGTAATATAAACACTGCATGATTAATGATTCTACTCACCAGAACAAATTCATCAAGCTGTATTGGGGGAGTAATACAATACAATACAGCTTTATGAATTTGTTCTGGTGAGTAGAATCATTACATTCAGGCTTTTTGCTGTAAACACCGTCTTTTCAGAGAAAAGATAGCTGTTAGAGATCCTTCCTGGGTCATGGCTGCCTAAAATGCATCCAAACATTCAGTATCTCCTCCCTCTGCATGCAGACACTGAACTTTCCTCATAGAGATTCATTGACTCAATTCATCTCTATGAGGAGATGCTGATTGGCCAGGGCTGTGTTTGAATCATGCTGGCTCTGCCCCTGATCTGCCTCCTTGTCAGTCTCAACCACTCCTATAGAGAAGCACTGTGATTGGATCAGGCTATCACTTCTGATGAGGTCAGCAGACTGCTTGTTTTTCTGAGACAAAAATCATGCAAAGTTACAGCTTCAGGCTTGAATACAGTAAGATTTTGCTGTATTAACAGAGGCATGCGGGACCCAGGGGGCTAGATGGTGGTTTAACACTATAGGGTCAGGAATACATTTTTGTGTTCCTGACCCTATAGTGATCATTTAAACAAATGTTTATATATAATAGTATAGCATGCTGCATTAGATTGAGCATGTATAAACAGGTTGACTTTGAAGTCGATCATTAAACCACTACTTTTGTGCATTTTGCTTGGAACATAACATAGGTATCAGTATACCAAATCACGGTATATTAGAAGGAAGAACAGAAATAGCATTATGAACAAACACATATGCTCTGATCGTACATGTCTTAAATACTCAGCTAGCTAATAAACTAGGAATAGCTCAGTGAATTATGTTGCTGAGGATAATAACTAACATTTGCATAATAGTTCTAGAGGCTACAATGCATTCCTAAATTTCCATATTGAGAGTTAAAGGACCACTATAGACATCCAGACCTCTTCAGCTTCATGAAGTGGTGTGGGTGCCAGTTCCATCTAGGATTAACCCTGTCTGCTGTAAACATAGCAGTTTCAGAGAAACATATGGGTTAATCCAGCCTCTAGTGGCTGTCTCAATGCCGCGCATGCGCATTCAGCCGATGACGTCGGAAGGAGGAGGAGAGTCCCCAGCGCCGAGGGAGCCCGGCGCTGGAGAAAGGTAAGAATTTAACCCCTTCCTCCAACTTCAGCCCGGCGCGAGGGGGGCCATGAGCGTGGGGGCACATTCAGGGCACTATAGTGCCAGGAAATCTAGTTTGTTTTCCTGGCACTATAGTGGTCCTTTAAGATCTACAAACCAGACTTCTCAAGGTTTAAATGTTAAAGTATTTGATGTTTTTTTAAGCACAATGGTTTATAAAACCAGGTGCCACCAGCGTGCACTAGTTACCCTAACCAAGGGGGCAGTGGTGGGGAAATAGTAGGAAATATCCATTCTAGTTAGAACTGAATCTAAAGGATTCCATGTATTAAGATGGAGTTTGCAAAAAAATAGAATATAGATAGACAGAGGGCAACGTCCAGCTCTCCCTCCACAGCAAGACTTGAGTGACAGTGAGCTTGTGTGTCGGTCACCTTGCCTGCTTTTGTGCTGTGTGTGTCAATGAGCTTGTGTGTAGTGAACTTTCCATAGTGTGAATGTGTGTGTCAGTGAGCTTGTGTGTAGTGAGCTGTGTGTAGCGAGCTTGCATGTGTGTATAAGTGATCGGTCTATAATGAACTTTGTGATCTTATGTGTATGTCAGTGAGCTTGTGTTTGTCTGAGCTTTCTGCAGTGAGCTGTGTGATCTTGTGCGTGTGTGTGTGTGTATGTCAGTGAGTTTGTGTCAGTATGGTTTTTCTGTAGTGAGCTTGTGTATGTGTCATTTAGCCGTCTATAGTGAGCTGTGTGATCTTGTGCATGTGTGTGTGTGTATGTCAGTGAGTTTGTGTCAGTGTAGTTTTTCTGTAGTGAGCTTGTTGTGTGTAGTGAGCTTTCTTTCTTTTTTGTTATTCTTTATTTATGAAAGCTAGTCAAAAAGACAAATATTATAAATTATAAACACAATCCAACTCATTTGTTATCAAGTCTTTGAATAAAAATATTATATATATACAAGCAATCAAATAAATTTGCTAATAATTTAAGGCTGGGCCATGATTTAAGGTATCACTGTGAGAAATAATTTACATAGCAGAGCTGTGAAACATAAATTTGGCCCTGCGGCAAAAAAACAAACCATTGACCGATTCTGCACAACATCCCATACGTCGCTACGTTTACGTGCGCCTTGCTGCTGCAAAAACCTTGGCTACGCTCCTGCAATATGTTACTATATAATTCTTCATCAAAGGACTAAAGCAAACATCCATCCACTGTCAGGCTTTATCAATGCAGCAAAATAAAAATGTGAGCATTACCAACCCACAAAAAAAGTACTTTTTTTTGAACATCCAAGACAATAAAATATTTCTTCATCCCTACTTGTGTTTGTCTGTTTCTTACCCAAGTACAATCAAGTGCTGTGATGGGCATCATTGCATCATGTTAAAGTCACCTGCAGCCATAATTGCAGAATCCTTCAGGGGTTAAACCTCATTAACAATTGTGAGAATGCCTTAGTGCCTGAAGGCATTGCTCCTAAGTAAGAAATGCAAAACATTTATTAGCACTGTCATGTGAATGCAAATGTTACATCAGCACTAATTATACCACATTTTTCATTATTCCAAAGTAACAAGTGGAATGCATGTCTTCATAAATATACACCACATATAACATATAACATATAACATATATACCATGACAGACACACCATGACACAGACCATGACACAGACAGACACACCCACCATGACACAGACACACACACACAAACCATGATACAGACACACCGTGACACACACCCACCGTGACAGACACACATGACACAGACAGACACACACACACCATGACACAGACAGACAGACACACGCACACCATGACACAGACAGACAGAGACACACAAACACACCGACACAGACAGACAGACACACACAACATGAGACAGACAAACACACACACACACCATGACAGACAGACACACCATGACACAGACACACACACACACACACACCATGACAGACAGACACACACACACAGCATGACACAAACAGACACACAGTATGACACAGACAGACACACAGCATGACACAGACAGACACACACACACACAAGGACCCGTGGCGAGGTCCAGTTCATCACATATCTTTCCTCCCAAGGGGAGACTAACCAGGTACCTGACCTCCTGTCGGTTGGTACCTGAGTTAGTCGAGTAGCCCACCCATAGGCAACTACTGGACCTGGTGACTTCTGTAGTCCATCTCTGTCCTGTATGGCCCCAGCGGTCAAGTGGGCATCTGGTACTCCTGGTCTCCCTTGTAATCCCGGGCATGGAGTTGTAGGTACTTGGTGGGCAGAGGCCAGCGGCGGTCTGCCCTGTAGCCAGCGTTACAGCTGGGTAAGTCAGGGGGTCGTCCAGTATTGGACTGAGGACAAGGAGAGGGCAGAGGCCAGCTGCGCTCTGCCCTGTTGCCAGTGCTTCTGCTGGGGTGGCCTGCAGGTATTCAGGCCCTGGACAGAGGGAAAGGTGAGGGCAGAGGCCAGCTGCTCTCTGCTCAGATGCCAGCTATGCTGCTGGGTTGACTGGTACATAGTCCTGCACTGTAACAAGGGGAAGGTAGGGCAGAGGCCAGCGGTGCTCTATCCTGATGTTAGCTTTGTGCTGGGATGGGGTCAGCGGATACTACCCCCAGGACCTGGTTGAGGATCTGCTGTGGAAAGGAGGAATCGCCTACCTCCTCCTTCTGGCATTCCTGCGGTGTTGGTTGGGGATCTGGACCGGCCGTCCAGTATCCCTGTAGGTCTTGTACAGAGACCGTGGTCCCATCTGCACCATTGGGGTCAGGAGTGCTGTCCCCTGTAGTTGCACACTGTCTCCACTCCCTGTAACTCTATCTGCTGCTGGGGAGAGAGGACGATATGCTCCTCTCCCTGTAATGCATACAGCCGCTCGGGAGAGGGACCGGCCGTCTCTTCTCCCTGTAACACACACTGCTGCTGGGGAGTGAGACCAACCATCTCCACTTCCTGTAACTCACCCTGCCGCTGGGGACGGAGGACGATACTCTCCTCTCCCTGTGACTGTCTGCCGCTGGGGAGAGAGACCGACTGTCTCTTATCCCAATAACACACTCTGCCGCTGGGGAGGAAGGACGACACCTTTCGCTCCCTGTTCTGGACACTGCTGCTGGGGAGTGAGACCGATTGTCTCCACTCCCTGTAGGATACACTGCCCCTGGAAAGAGAGACTGACTGTCTCTTCTCCCAATAACATACTCTGCCACTGGGGAGGAAGAACGAGATGCTTCTCTCCCTGGGACACACACGGCTGCTGGGGAGTGAGACTGTCAGTCTTCACTCCCTGTGTAGGTCTTTTGTTCTTGGACCGTCACAGGATCTCGTGTAACCTGAGCTTGTAGTGCCGCGCCGCTCGGTTCTCATTGTCCAACTCTCGCAAGGTTGCCATGATAATCTCTGCCGAAGGATCTGGGCCATACCTGGTTAGCCGCCTCTTTACCTCATCAATGTAGGGGTCGCTCTCAAAGCGATACGTCATGGTTTGCTTGCTTCAAGGCTGTGGGCACCTCTGCTTCCAGGTGCGCTGCATGACTGCTAGTGTTGCCCTCAATATAATCCACACGTTACCGGTTTCTCCAGGATGCTTCTCCTTGCACTAGGAAGCCATCCCACCACTGCCACCAAATGTGACGGACCGCCTGGCACCCCGACTGGGTGCCTCCGCCAATCACTGCTTCCTAGTCACCTTGAGTACTATAAGCACCGCACCGGACACCATAAGTACCATAGCCCCTTAATCGCCGCAGCTTGGCTGGGGTGTCGCTGTCCTGTTATAAGTCCCAACAGGCACAAATAGTGTTTCAACCAGGGTTTAACAAGTATGCCCCTCAAAGGACTCGTGACAAGGTCCAGTTCGTCACAAGGTGAGTGATAGATTGAGAGCTACAGCTGACTCTCTCAGTCTATAACCAGCCACCCAGCTAAACTTTCCTAAAACTGCAGCGGCAGAGGGGAAGCAAGCAGGAGGGCAATGAGCTGGACACTGTAGTACCATGTTCGGGGTTAAATTGTTACAAATTGCATAGTTGCCAACATTTTAAAAAAAATTTCCAGGGACACTTTGCAGCATATCTATAAATTACTACCTTGATAATTTACCACACCCACTGTCGCAAACCTCCGCCAACTATGTCCAACCCACATATTTAATCTCTGCCTACATATCACAGTGCTAATTACAGAGTCTACTCAATAAAGAGAGAATTACAGGGAATTGAGATGGTAATTTTAAACTTAAGGCCAAAGTAGCCGAGTTGGAAAATTTCTCCTATTCAGCTGCACTATTTCAACCTAAAGTTTGAAATTCCCATCACAATTCCCTGCAATTCTCTCTTTATTGAGCAGACCTTTATAACACCCAAGTTCCCACCAACAGTACCATGTATCCTTGGTATGCGATAGATACATTTGCAGCACAGCATCTATATCAGGCAGTACAGAATGGAATTAAAGAGAGAAATTGGAGCAAAAGGAAAAACATATGCACATATTCCATTAGCCCCTTTTCATGTCCCCAATTCAACATGTTAAATGTTTCAGACTGAAGCTTCAGTCACCACTCCACTGCTTCTGATTCTTCTAGTTCCTGGAGTCTATGGGTATTATACAGAGAGCAGCACTATACAGGGAGCACTGACTGTCCCGGAATATTATACACACAGACCTGTACTATATAGAGAGCAGCACTATACAAGGAGCACTGATTATTCTGGGATATTATAAAGACACAGAACTGTATTATACAGAGAGCAGCAATATACAGGGAGCACTGACTCTCCCCGGATATTATACACCCATAGACCTGTATTATACAGAGAGCAGCACTATACAGGAAGCACTGACTGTCCCAGGATATTATACACAGACCTGTATTATACAGAAAGCAGCACTATACAAGGAGCACTGACTGTACTGGGATATTATGCACACACACCTGTATTATAGATAAATTATCGATAAAATTAAGCTTATATTTATTGGTATCTCCAACAAATGCAATACATACATATAAACAATACATACACACAGACTGCTAAACACAATCACACACCGACTGCTGAATACACGCACACACCGATTGCTAAATAAACGCACACACCGACTGCTAAATACGGAGTACACACCCACTGCTAAATACGGAGAACACACCCACCACTAAATACGAAGTACACACCCACTACTAAATACGGAGTACAAACAGTCAGACTGCTGAGTACGCACAGTCAGACTGCTGAGTACGCACAGTCAGACTGCTGAGTACGCACAGTCAGACTGCTGAGTACGCACAGACAGACTGCTGAATGCACACAGGCTGCTGAATACACACACAGAGTGCATACACACAGTTCACTGAATACACAAACACACACAGAGACTGCTGAATACACACATAGAGAGGCTCCTGAATACACACAGGCTACTTTATATACAAACACACACACACACAGACTGCTGAATACAGACAGACTGCAGTGAGGGGGGTGCTGTGTGTGAGCGGTGCTGTGTGTATGTGAGCGGTGCAGTGTGTGTGTGAGAGGTGCAGTGTGTGTGTAAGGGGTGCAATGTGTGTGTGTGAGAGGTGCAGTTTGCGACGGGTGGTGTGTGTGAGGGGTGCTGTGTATGTGTCAGAGGTGCTGTGTGTGTCAGGGGTACTGTGTGTGTGAGAGAGAGTTGCTGTGTGTGAGGGGTGCAGTGTGTGTGACGGGTGCTGTATGTGTGTGTGAGGGGTGCTGTATGTGTGTGAGAAGGTGATGTGTGTGTGCTGGGGGGCTTTGTGTCAGGGGTGCTTTGCCCTGGT